TGAGAGCAGGACGCAGGCAGTTGATATACAAAGTGATTCTGGTTGAACACAATACTGACCTCAAGTCATCACATGGACCCACAACAGAGCTGTGCGACTTTCTAGCAGTGTCTAGTCTGTTCTCTTGTAAACATAAACAAAGCTAAACAAAACAGAGAACACACACAGAAAACATATTTAGTTACCCAGTGCAGCTGGATTTGATCAGGGGGCAATCAAAGTAAAACAAACTATCAGAGGGAATCGAGGCAGCGCTCAAAGTACCGCTGCCCAGCAGGGGGCCACTGAGAGAGAGATTTCAGGCAAACCCCACCGCAATCAAAGACGCTGTGGTGGAGAGTGACCTCCTCACTACTCCTCTGAGCTGTAATCGTTGCCACTTTTACTTAAATAAAATAGATCCATCTCTGTTAAAGAGAATCTCATCAATAATTTGAGTCTCTCTGCGGCTGGAGCTCTCTGCTGGCTACTTTTACATCATCTGTCCTGGGTGCAGCAGAGAGGGATTACATTTGTTTAATATGCAATTTCACTGGGCTTCCCTGTTTATCCCAGTATCAACATGAGTGATCATGCTAACCCGTCAGATTGAAGAGAAGAAAACCACCACCGTCTGCTGGACGAAACAAGGGAACACTTTGTGTCTTTTGTTGTAAACTCAGATGAATGTTTCATGAGTGATGGAGTTCAACCTTACGTCATCACAGAGAGTCATGTGCTGTGATTAGATTTAGACTGAACACTTTTTTCTTCATTAAAAAAATGCTTTTGCTTATTTTGTTTTCATTCTGCAGAGTGATTCAAAGTTTGACTCAGGAAAGGATTTTTCAGTTATTGAAGTGGGGAAACTCAGCTGGCTTTACATCTGAGTTTACAGCAGTGACATAAGAGAAAGTTTTTATGTAAGCAGAAGTCAAACTTCACATCTTGTTGAAGTTTAAAATGTAGTGTTCACATTGAAAACAGACATTTCAGTGATGCAAAATACATCCTGTGTTGTAGATCAGACTCTTGGTTTTTATGACAGTGGAGACAGATGTGCTTTTACTACTTTGTTAAACTTGTTTTTTTCCTACTAGAGAAGAAACACACGTCAGTATTAAACTAATATTTAGAGAAGAAGATATTTTTATGTTTTGAAATCTGTTTGGCGCTGACCTTTTAAAATAATATCTGTAATCATTAGTGTTTTACTACATGGAAAGGTATCGAAAGGTTTGTGATGTTATGAAATGTAGCTAGGATTCAGCTGGAATCACTGTGCCAGATAAACAGAGTTATGGTTTTAATAAAATGCATCATGAAACTGCCTCTTCAAATGAACGACTTAGACTCTCAGAAGACTTAGAGGGCTTTTCTTGCCCTCATTTGACAGGACAGGGGACCTGACATGTCAGTGGAGTTTAAGTGGAGGATGCGATGCTCCGAAGAACATCAGGATTGGGAGACTCAACATGTAAACAGCAGAGGTGTGTCAAGACTTTCCTGAGTGGGGTGCCCCAGTCGTTCTCTCTCTTACCCTCAACAAATCTTAATTACTTTTAAATAATCACAGACTAACATTAATGTCCTTTCATCAACTTCCTTACTACTCACATGGATGTGGTAAACACTTAATTCCTACTGGTTGAAAACCTCACAACAAGTCATTAATTCTAAAAAAAAAAAAAAAATAGGAGCAAAATTTGGATCACTGTCTTGGTCCAACAGAAACTGGATTTCAAAATTCATGTGAGGGTGTCAGCTGGACTGAAATCACACTAAATAAATAAATCTGTAATCAGTTCTTGTCTTGTTTGGTGCTTTTAGTCTTGGACGAGGACACTAGCCCAATTAAATCACCCAATCTAGCTTGACTTGACTATGCATGTAAATGTATTGATGAGGAAGTCTGGCACATAATAAAGTTTGTTTTATCTCTCTTTATTGATAATTATTTTATTTTATTTGAAGTGCAAACATATGGAAATGTGCTGCATTTGAATGTAAAGACAACTAATAGCAGTCTGTTTCAACAAGGCGTACAGCCTGTCATAGTTTGGCGTTCTGGGATGACACCTGGAGTGACCAACCAGATTTGAAGAGAGGCTGATGCCACCCTTTGGTCTCGTGGACTGCAGCACCCACAAACCAGTGGCCAGACTTTTTTCACAGAGGTTTGCCAGAGTAGGACACAGACTTTTGCGGGGGTGGCCAACATTTGGATCCCAATCCTGGAAGGGTTGTCTGCTAATCGCAGCTACTTTCCACTACTTCCTGTACATTAATTTTGACTTTAAAAGGTAGTTTAACAAATAAGTAATATTTAAATCTGCCAATCTTAACTATTAAAAGACGCAAAAAGATGTGAGTCCAAGGTCATTATTTAAGATACCAACAATAGTAGATGTTCCATATTGAAATGCAAAGAAGGTTCCAGCAGACTGTTTAACAAAACCCAAACTAATTTCAATAGAAGTGCTGCCTCTGACAAGGCCATTCATGCTGTGGGTTTTCAGGGTGGTCTATGGGGTGGCCAATCACATTTCAAAGTTGGCTTTTGCCACTTCTGGCCAACCCCTGGCTCCACCACTGCCACAAACAGGGCACCCACCCAACAAGCTGAAACGCTCTGATGCCCCTATTTGTGTATACTTCAAAGTTCCTGTGAGGAATTGATGCTGATGAGTCTTTATGAGCTGCACAAAACCAAACAAGACCAACTTGAGAAAGACTGATTAATCCAGTGATGTAGTTTTTAATGCTTGTAACAGATGCCACAATGTAGGTATCAGGCAAGATGAACAGCAACAGCACACAGAAGACACAGCCTGCTTCACATTTCCATCACTCAGTGACACATTTGATTATGACAAGACAGCTGGATGAGTCAGTCGAGTCATTGGAAAATGCTAACTAGAACAAGTTTAGCAAGTAAAGCAAAGAAATTTGAAGGTCCAAAATCAACACAACCAGAAATTTTCTCACAGGAGCTTTAAATATTTGAAAACATCCAGATTCAAGCACATTAAAAACAAAGATAAATGAAGAGATTGTCTACATACTTCTGTGCTAAATTATGTAACATGAAGGTTACACTTGCCATCCTTTGAGATGCAGAACAGATGTTTCAATAAGAGGATGTTGGAAATAGTGCATCACAAATGTAGACCATGTAGAGATAACTCTCAGTTTAAGTGCTGCTCTGTTAGATCAGTTACCTGGTCCACCATCAGGGATTGATGCTCTTCTGTCACCTCTGTGAAGAGCTTAACCTTCTACACTGTGAAGAAGTGCATATTGACTGTTCTGTATCATACTGCAGCTGACGTCCTGTAAAGGTTTGAAAATGAACTGCCAATGATTGAAACTTGTTTTGGTAAAATTCTTAACCACCAGAGAGAGAATAACAGTAGAGAGACTCCCTGAAATAACAACAACATTTTGAAGACATTTCTTGTCAGGATCTTGATCTTGATCTTGATCTAAACATGGCAAGAAATGAAGCACAATAAAAAATGCCTTTCACCCTCTAGGAAGGATTCCCTTTTTCTTGCTGCCACCTACTGGTCAAAAAAAGTATGAGGATAGACTCCACATTGAATTACAGGGATTTAACCTGATTATTACTGGGTGGAACCAACAACTACAGCTTCAGACTTTACCTCTGGCAGCATACAGTCTAAAGTGAGTCTTTTTAGGCAGCTTTTTTTAATTTGTCAAAGCCATAAAAGCAAAGATGTTTCTACACTCTGCCCCCCCTCTACAAAATCTTAACAAGAAACAGCATGTATGGCACAGGGGTATGCAATTGAAGCAGCTAAATGGGATGCAGACACCATCATTTACACTTAATGCTTCTCCTGCTTTGACATGCTAAGAGGCCTGTTTTGCCACCAGTTCAGCTATTTGGTAGGATCTCAGACAGAGACAAATTTAGGATCAGACATTGTGAATAGATCAGCTCCTCAAGAGATTGTGATATGGAGAGGTCTCTGCAAGTGTAAAACTTTGCTGGTCCAACTCATTTCATTGAACAGTAAGATGCTTTATTAGCATCAAGGACACTAAATAATATGAATTGTACTCCACAGTGTAAGTATTTCTATAACAATAAATGCTGCTCTTGCAAAATGTCTGAGCATAACCTAAATGTCCTATTGCACCACCTATACATGAGCTGTTTTTTTCAGTTATGATTTGTGTAAAAAGCAAAGAATTATGTTGGACTTACCATGTTATTGATTGGCTGAACTTCACACGAATGTACAAAGATAAGTTATTAACAATATACCTGTAACAAATAAATGATTAAGCATCCTCACTTAGGGCTTAAAGTCTCTTTTTTGTTGTCTTTGTTCTTGTTTTTGGGTTCTTTAGTGTTTGGGCTCTTGTGTCATTTAGGTTCTTATGTTGTTCTTGTGTTATGTTGTTCCGGTTCTTTATTGTGTGGGTTCTCCTGTTGTTCAGGTTCTTTGTTAATTTGGGTTTTTGTATTGTTTAGGGTCTTTGTTGTCTTAGTTCTTGTGTTGTTCAGGTTCCTTTGTTTTTGGGAGTTAGCATGTTGTTTAGGTTTTTGTTGTAAAGATATTTATTGCACTTCTTATGTTAGAGGTCATGTTTAAAAGTAATGTTGTTTGTGATCTCTACTTTTGTCTGTCAAAGCATTGTGTAAACTTGTAAATTATTATTATTATCATAATTATAACAACGAAATTATTCAAAAGGAGAGGCAGTAGAAGTGCCAGTGGTATTTAGACAATTAGTTCACAATGAATACACCACAATTACGTACAAAATACAAAGGAATTTATTTGTTTGCAGAAAATTTAGTAATTAAAGCTCTTTGTTATCTTGGTTTAGATCAATTGAAGCCCATATATCGAGTGAGGGGAAGTTGTATGTTTTACCCATAACTGTGGTACCAAACTGCCTTTTCAGTTATCAATAAAAGTTTAAATCTTTTTACAGGGTTCCTGTATCCTTAAACCGACCTAAGCCTGTGAGTAGTGCCTGTGGCTGACACTAGAGGCTTCCTGTTGCTCGGTGTGGGTCTGAGTTGTTTTGGTTAGCAGGATGCTAGCACATGCTGTCTGCTGTAGCCGGCTGTTGTAGCGGTGATGGCTCTCCCATAAAGCGGGGGAGCGGGACTGTTTTCCGATCAAACACCGAGAAAAGTGCCGTGGCCATGGCTGGAGTTTTTGACATCGATTTAGACCAACCGGATGAGAATGTCTCTGACGACGAACTGGAGGATGGGGTGAGTGTACGTTATCAGGCTTATTACCGCCGCTACTAGCCTGTTAGCTGGGAAGTTAGCGCCCAGCTAGCACTTTCGAGGCCTGCGTTGCTAAGGATGGTGGTTCCATTATCGGACGTGTCCTCATTTACCCCTTTCCCGCGAAATCTGGCAGTGCACCACAAAAGACTACACTGTGTTTAGAGAAATTTCCACAGGCCTGCCTATATTCAGAACATTAACTTTATTGTATTTCAAGTAAACGTCTGTCATGCTAATGCCTTAACGCCGATATATGACTAACATATAACCGATGCCATTAGTCTTCATGGCTGTTAGTGTTAGTGTGTTTTGTCGAGTTTGGCTGCTTTGACAAAAAAAATCTATCCATGAGCGACGGGGCGAGTCTGTAATATAGGTTTTTAACATCATCCAATAAATAATATTCCAAGTAATTACTTCATTCTAGACGTTTGCACACTATCTGGGACACTTTCACATACTGTTTGAGTATGTAAACCTTGAGAGGATGCGTTTCTTAATAGGCTAATACCCTCTTAAAGCGCTCTCGGACTGCTTTGTATGGCTCCATCACTCGCTCAGTTTGTACCCTAGAAAAAGAGGAAGCATGTTATTATGGTAAATTCAGATTTTTTTGATAACGAGTTTGGGAGAAACACACTAACGTACTGAAGAAGTGCGCCCGGGCATGCGCGTGTAGACGTAGTGCTTCATCTTCTTAGGTAGCATTATTTCATGTAACACCGGCTACTCCTGGTCCAACACAAAATTCGTTGCTGCTGTGGTCGTTTGTGAGCTGACACTAAGGCATAAACCAAAGTTCTTTTCCCCCCCGAAAAACTCCAGAAAACACCACAGTTAAAGAGGCGTAACAACTGCCGTGTCCAATCTTTTAATATCTGATCCTGCGTTGGCTCTTCTGGTCGGGCGGGCGTTGCTAAATTCATGTCCGACAATGGAACCACCGAAGCAGATAAGGCGGTTTCACGCACTCTATCGGCATCCGCCTGTTGTAGGGACGCAGATATACGATAACAAGACCCCAAACGCCACATACATTGTTTGACAACGACTTTGACAAACAAGAAGTGGGACACTAATGAACTAAAGCTGTGGGTGACCAACACAAACGCATGTGAAGCTTGAAAGACAACACTGTTAGTTTGCAGTCCCATCACTCACCGAAGTTACTTAGGTTATTTATGTACTAATATTACAATAAATATGCTAAATTTTTAAAATCTGATGTGAAGTACAATAAATTGACTCCTTATTGATTTTAACAGAAGTCTTTATTGAATGAGTGTTTTTCAAATGGAATATTGTATATCCACATATTCAGTTAGACTATGAGGAAACATTACAAATACCAGCTGAAAACAGAGGTTAGACACGGTACTGGAAAGTTAAGTGAACTAAAAAAAAAAGGCCAAGAAATGTTCAAATGTGTCAAACATTGATATTTTAATTCATACCTCTATTTTTAAAGTTGATGTCCCTATGTGTGTAGTCTCATCATTTTTCTTGGTTTGCATTTACAATACTGTACTTAAAAACATACGTATTAATCTGATTAATACGAATATTGCTATTTCAGTGCAGCTTAATAAATTGTTGGCTTGCCACTGCCAGTTAATTTAGACTGAACCAAATAAGAAGGTATATTGAATAAAAATATGTGGTGGATAACTCTCAAAATTTAATCACTGAAACAGACATTAAAGCTTCTGTTAGTAAATTTTAATTTGCCCGGTTTAGGCGATTCCTGAGTTAAGATTGGCCACCATTATTTATTCCACCTGCCTTTACTTTGACTGTCATAGATATGACCTATGGACAATTTTTGTCATGAACAGCAAACCAATGCAGTCCCAGGAGCTTGCAGTTCATCACTTCTATGGCACCACCCATCCCGGTTTTTTCAGACATTAAAAATAACCACACTGAAATACAGAAGTTAATCATTATGCTAATGGTCATATTATGTCTTATAGTTCATCAAGAGACATCAGTATTAATTTCAGTATTTGTCACGGCTAGCTGAAAACTCCTCACAGGAATCTAAATACATCCAAAGTTGGCTCCCTTGCCTTCAAATTTGCTGATTCATTTGTTTGTTTTGTCCTTTCTCTTGCTTTCAGGGCCAGCTCAGTGAATACATGGACCAGTGCAGTGGCTTTGAATTGTGAGTAAAAGTAGAGCTGTATTTGTCCCAAAGTCATTAATTTAATTTGGATGAATGGAAGTAATTACTTACATTGAGGATCTTTGAATAATTAAGGGCCTTAAACTGTTTTCATTGAACTTTTTTTTCCTAACCAAAGTTGACTCTACCATTACCATGATTAGTAAAAGCCTCTACAAGGGTTAGGGTGATTTTGCATTGTTGGTACAGTTCAACTGAAGGGATTAGTAGCATGGTTTTATTTAATGTTGACTGAAAGCAGTATCTAAAATGAATGTGTTCAGTTAGGTTAAAGCCGGCTGACAGCAATCATCATCATTCTCATGAAAACATATTTTAGGTGCCCTGCCAAGTTTTAACTTGTGTATGCTTGTAGAAATAATCCTGTTTCCCCCTCACATATGACCTGGTTCTTTTATCACCAAACTATAGGTGGCACTGGGCTTAAATATGTAACAATATGGTGGTAAATGAAGCCTGTCTTTTGCTCTAATCTGCTGTACTGATGGGTAAAATTTTGTCCGTTTGCTCGTTAACATGCTACCAAATCATGTCAATAATTATTGAAAGTATTCATTAAAACAAATAAACATTCAGCTTAATTGAAATCAAGTAATTAAATTTCAAAAGTGTAATTAATATAAAGCCTTAATTTCACTGAAAACTGTGCAGGCAACTTGCTAAATGTTGAAACTGTGAACTTTATTTTGACAAATATAGGCTCATTTTAAATGTGATCCCAGCAACACCTTTAAAAAGTTGGGACAATTGCAGTAACATGTTTACTAAAGTGTTGCATCACCTGTCCTGTAACAACTTCAGTAAACACTTGGGAACAGGGGAGACCAGTTTCAAGAATTTGCAGAGTGAAATGTCGTCTCATTTTCGCCTGATATAGGATTTGAGCTGCTCAACAGTTTGGGTCTCCTTTGTTGTATTTTTCATTTCATAATGCCCTAAATGTTCTTATGGGTCAAAGGTCATGACTGGAGGTTGCCCAGTTTAACAGATTCAGACTCTTTTTCTACAGAACCATGCAGTTGTAATATGTGCAGAAGGTGGTCTGGCATTGTCTTTTTCTATTTTGCAAGGTCTTCCCTGTAAAAGCCAATGTCTGAATGGCTGCATATGTTGCCATAAAACCTGTAAATGGTACCTCCCCCAGATATTTAAGCTACCCATGCCATGGGCACTAATGCAACTGTCATAGATACTAACTTTTGAAATGTGTGCAGACAACCAGCCAAGTGTTCCCCTGACTCTTTAGAGTGTAAGGTGCAGCAAAGTCAAATTTTGGACAGTTTTTTTTTTAACTTCCTATTAGTCCATCTAAAATAAGCTCTGACCCAGAGAAGTCATTTGCATTTCTATTATATTAATAAATACAAGTGTCCACTTCTGGGAAAGGCGGAAGTGTCCACCAAAACACGTGAAGGTATGTGAAAAGATTACATGTCTGAGGTAAAAGAAAAAAAGAAAAAGAAAACCATTTCTAAGAAACTGAAGACGTAATGATGATTTTGATTGATTAAATGATTTTCTTTTAGCATTAAGTTCTTGTAACCTATATTTGTGGATACTCAGATGAACTGTGTTCTCAAACCCTTTGTAATTTTTATTCTTAGAAACATAATCCTGAAGTTGTAAGAGACTGCATGAGTAACAGAGTAGTGAACTTTTTCCTATCTTTACTTCTGAGAGACTCAGACTCGCTCAAATACCCTTTTTGTACCCAGTCATGTTACTTACCTGTTGCATTTTTCATGAAATATTTCACCTAAATCTGTTTTAACATAGCATCCCAGCTTTTTTGGAGTTGGGGTTGTAAAACTAGGGTATGGCCCAAGTGTGTAACTGGGACAGGTTTTTATTTGTTACTGATAGCCATTATTACAGATGGACTGGTATTTAATGAAATGCAGTTTATAATTACAGATGTGGTCAAATTTTGGTACCCATACTTTTTGTCTGATTTATGGATCTACTTAACGCACTTTAGTTTGGAGAAAGCTTGCACTGTACACACATACTGTATGTGTATCTCAGTCAGTCTCAGATAAAGCATAACTCAGTGCTTGGGTGAATTATATGTACTGGAGCACTCACTGTTAATACTGCTGTGTATGTTGGATAATATGAACAGAATGTTGAGCTTTGATTATGATTCTTTTCTTAATGTTCTTGTTTTCAGTAACATGGATGACTGTGAGAAGTTTGAAATCTCTGAGGACAGCGTGAACAAGGGAACAGAGCAGATCAGACCTGAATGCTTTGAGCTGCTGAAAGTTTTGGGCAAAGGTGGCTATGGAAAGGTGAGGCATCTGACTCTCCAGCATGTTTACGATGATTTGAATCACAGTTATTCACAACACTCATGACTGTGACTGATTTTCTTGCACAGTGTTGTAATTAATTTGAATTTTGGATATTGAAGGTTTTAACCACAGAGTTGGTCAGCAAACAGTGGAGTAATAACACTAACAGCTGTGTGGACTCAACGATGATGTATGTTCTGAAAAGTGGGAAAATCCCTTGTGTCCTTTTTCTTTTGGGGTTTGGACCTGTCAGTATGTGGTGTAGACACTTGCAGTTGTCTTTAAATTGAAATGAGTTTGGACTTTTTTACTGGAAGTTCAGATCTGCACCCTTGAAATTAGAGCTGTTTATGAGAAACCTTTTAAAACCCAGACATACATCACAATATGTTTGAACTGTTGCAAAGTTAAAAATGCATACCCAGCCTTTAAATGTAACATCTGCTGTCATCAAACAGTCTCCTGTTTGGTCACATCAGTGCAAAACCAGACCCTAATCATCTGTCTGTCAAAGTGTAAGACCACTGACGTCAAGAAGTTTTATTTCATTGTTTTATTTTGGCATTACCAACACAAGGACCTCTGGAAATTTCCTGACCTCTACTTTTCTAAGCCTGGCACAGAAAGTGCACATCACAGTTATTTTGGAAACACTTTTTACTTGGCAAGAAGATGCGTGACTTATTCCTTCTTGAAGTGGTTTTATGTCTGATGACTAAGAAGTCAATTTCTACATCCTGGGAATTTCTCAGCCAACATTCTCTCAGAAAAAAAAACACTCATCTGTTTTTATATTCTCTGATTTTGACACTTCATGTTTTAACACAACTTAAAAGATACTTTTCCTCAGAACTCAGACCAAATAGTCCCTCTAGTTCGTACCAAGAAATAGAAGAATGACAGACATTATTCAGCTGCTCCTTCAACAGTGCAAGTCTACAAAAATGCCATAATACAAGATACAAAAATCTACAATGGTATTGTAATACAAGATAAAAAAATCCATAACAGTATCATAATACAAAATACAAAACTCTACAATAGTGCAGTAATACAAAATACAAAAGTCCACAACAGTGCTATAATACAACACACAAAAGTCTACTACAGTGCAGTAGTTATACAAAATACAAAAGTCTACAACAGTGCAGTAATACAAAATTCAAGTCTATCATAGTGCTGTAATTAGGGTTGCAAAAGTCCAGGAATTTTTCAAGTTGGAAACTTTCCATGGGAATTAACGGGAAAAAATCTGAAATTTACAAAATTGAAGGTTGGCCCTCAACAGGAAACTTAAATATAGTTGGGAAAATATATTGTAGCATAACCTTGGCTAAAACAACCGGATTTAATGCAAGTACACTCCTCAATCACATACACACAGCACACTGCGTACTGCAGGGCTATTAAGGCCACACCCCCTATATGCACTGAGCATTCCTCTATCACATGTACAGATGATTTCTTGAACCCTGGAGCTTATTATGGTGGTGGTAGCTACCTCAAATATGATGGTGTTTTTTCTGACTCCTGCAAGACAGTTTTCTGTAAACATACAATAATTTATACATCAAGTGTCAAATATTTTGAAGACCATTCCAGTTGTTTAGCCGACTATATTTTATTTTATTCTACAGAAAAATGCCACGTTTGCCATCCGATGTGTGTCATGTTTTTTATTTGAATTATTTTGCATGGATGTCTGCTTATGACAAAACAAAAATATTAACATTTATGTTTGGATATGATACAGTTGGTTTAAATTACCCCCAGTTTCCAGTTAATTCCCTATAATTCCCATAAATTCCCATAATTACCATGGGAAGTTTCCAAATTGGAATATTTCCAAAATTCCCCGGCTTAACTTCCCATGGCATGAAAAGTTTCTGGAAATATATTGACAATTTTCCGCCGCTTTGCAACCCTAGCTGTAATACAAAAATCTTATTTTTTAGCTTTTTTTTTTTTGAAGCACTTAGTTTTGCATGAGGCTCATTAGAACATGATCAGCCCTTTTCCTTGCTGCTGTTTATAGCATTAGTTTGATAGCTCCCTCTAAGCTTATCATGAGGTATTTTTCTTCATCTCAAGGGGGATTTAGCAAAAGCTAATCAGGCTTAAAATGATTATATTTTAATTGGTTAACTGTTTCACTGCATGTTTGATTGCTATCAGAGCCACATTTATTACTATAATTATATTATGGAGGGTTATTTTTTGAAACTGGAAGTAGGGGCTAAAACGATCCCCGAAATAACTCAATTACCTAAAAGCCTTCAGGCAGAGTATTTTTTCCTGGAGGTTTTGTTTAAATCCAAATAACTGTGCAGCACATTGTGTTTCATGCATAACATTTCAGCCACAGACCAACTATTGGACACAAGCTGCGAATCCTTAAATGCCCCAACAATATTCATGTACAAGCAATAAAAGACAAAAACAGCCATTAAACAAATCACATTTTTCAAAGTGATTAATTAAATGATAATCAAGATCTTGCTGAGTGAAACAGTGTTTAGTAACAGAGTTTAGTAACAGTGTTTCACTGTATGTTATTTGTTGGTATCATGCATATGCTATACCGTATGATACCAGGTGAGTGACAGGTTAAAACTTTTGTTTCCATTGTCGTCTCACGCAGTACATTTACCTCTCATTCAAAAAACTGCATTAGTTCGACTGAAACTAAACTCTTAAGATACTTGTAAACATGTTAGCCTGACTGAAATCGCACTAAATCGTTCTTTTCAAACTCGATTCACTCGTCCATGTCTTCACCTCCATCTAACTGAAACTGGTCAAAATGTTTAGTGCATGCCTCAGACTTGGCAGACCGAGCTTTGACCCAGAAGTTAAATAACATAAATTTGTTGCTGGGATCCAGGTAGAAAACAGAATCTCAACAGGAGACGAAGAAAGGATGTTAAAAAAAAATGGCGCTGTCATATTTAATGGTATATCCAATAACAGTTGTCCACTTAAATCACCTGACTAAGCTGTAACTGTAGCTTAACTGACTGCTTATTTCCACTTGTCAAGTCAGCACAAGCAACAGAGTCCTCCTGGCCTCTTCTGTCACCCTGTGAGGACTAAATTTCTCCAGACTTCATCCTGATTAACTTTTGCTGGACTAATCTTGATGCATGCTCACATGCTGTGGATTCACTCATGCTCATTACGCTCTGGCTGAAAATTAACTCAAGGAAAGAGAGTAAACTTTCAACTGTCTTAGTTGTGCAAAAATTTGAGTTCAGCTGTTGCTCTCATTCCTTTAAAATCACCTTTTTTTCCTGCCGTATCAATCAAGATAACTGGACAGCCAAACAATAGATCAATAGATGTGACATTTACGTGATGGTAAAGATTAAAGTAAAAACAGAAAAATCTAGCATCTCACTGTGCTATTATTAGATTACTTGATCAATCCCCAGCAATAATCAATGTAAGACTCAGTTACTGAAATAAACAGTCACTGTAGCTCTACTGGAAGCTGGGTTGGAGTTGTAAAATCATTGTTGTAATTTGAACATTGTGTGCTGAATCGTTTCCATCTTGCTTCTACACTTTAGCCAGTATTCATTTGCATGCTGGAGCCTTGTCTGAATGTATGAGGACTGTGATTGACATGTTGTAAATGTTTCCAGGTGTTCCAAGTTCGGAAAGTATCGGGGGCCAACTCTGGGAAGATATTTGCCATGAAAGTTTTAAAGAAGGTGAGGAAATTTGTCTTTGTTGGTTTTGAGGTTATAGTATTAATAACTCATTCAGAGTAACTATCGATCATCCTTAAAATGTGAATTAGGAGTCCTTATGCCCCCTGGTGCACAGACAGGGAAGTGTAGAAGGCTGTCACAGGAATTGGCAAATGTAAGCAAATCTTGATGTATGGGGAATTAGCACCTCAAATACTGTGACTCTCAGGCCAAATGCAGCTTAACCGTGTCTCCTGTTTCATGTGTGCTGAATGTCACTGTGTGCCGTCTCTGGTGACATACTGGTGCATTCAGCCGTGAAGCCTGAAAGCTACGGGCAGACCACCCAAAATAATGGCAGCAGGCTTCCTCCCATTAAACCTCAGATGGGCTGCTTCTGTTCAGCTTGGCCTCCTCTCTGCAGCTGACACCGAGCTGGTGCCTGACTCTGCTCCAGAAGCCAACTCTTATTTCCCAAAGCTTGAGGTTTGGCTTAATGACTGTGTTTATTGGTTTAATGAGACTTTACTGTAGCTACCAAACCTGGCTTCCTGTATGTGTCCTGGCCCTGCAGCAGCTGATGTTGGAGCTACGACACAAGCCAACAGGGTTATTCAGTCAAGGCCTGAAGAGTTCCACAGCCCTGACTCTCTGTGCCTTTCTTCCCTCTCCAGGCCATGATTGTGCGTAATGCAAAAGACACAGCACACACCAAAGCTGAGAGGAACATCCTGGAGGAGGTGAAGCATCCGTTCATTGTGGACCTCATCTATGCCTTCCAGACCGGGGGAAAGCTCTACCTGATCCTGGAGTACCTGAGCGGTGAGTGAAGTGATGCTCAGTCAAATAAAGTGTTTCCTAATGGTTGAGGATTAACCAGAACTAGCAGCTACAGCAGCACAGGACCCTCATCAGTGTTTCCCCTATCGTGTGTTTACACACTATCTGTGATTTCTGTAAGTGTTGCTTGTCTTTGGGTAAGCACAGACATGAACACACTGTCAGCCACTAATTAATTTATTTATTTTTTAGAATTGAGAGCTGCTTTTATACTGGCACTATACCAGGGCAGCTGCATTCCCTTTCGACACTTTATTTTTATATTTACATTTGTATTGAATGGACACTTTATCATTACTGCCACTTGCAGTAATGAGTTGTAAAGAAAAATAGTAAAAAAAGTGCAATAAAAAAGCAAATAGTTTGTTATTCTCCAGTGCAGAGTCTTTACTTTTATTTATACAGCCGCTTCATTTCATTTGAGTTTGTTTGTTCAAGGTTTTCAATAATGTGATGAAGGTTCAGAAAAATAAAATATAGTTATCTTGAAAGCCACGTGTGTAAGCTCTCAAATATTTTTTAAATTTTGTGTCTATCTGCTACAGAGGCCGAGATATCCGCTTTTTTGTAAACCTCAACACTTCAGACAACTTCTCAAAATTGCCCTCAGGATTTCAGAGGCGTGGCTCAGACAGGGTTCAGGTCTTAATGGGTTAAGGGGGCAACCTTAAGTCTTGGGAAGTAAAGCTGATGCAGAAGTGTGAAAAACTGCAGTTCCTCAAGCATCCAACGAAGGCTGGCTGCAAAAGCACCAGAAGCCATCTACACATATAACACTTTAAAGCAGAAACAAAGATACCTGTTTCAAATATCAGTTTTGGTCTGAATAGCTCATTTCTCTGCCCTCACACAGTGTACAGTGGGTGAATTTTATCTATAATGCATTCATTTTAAAGAAACAAGGGCTTCAAGTTTGGCCTATGCATTTGCCGTAGATACAAAGGACCGCGTGATGACCTTGGTCTGAAATCGTAGGAGAAGAACGAGTTAATGCGCGGCCTTGATTCACATGTGTGAGTGTTTAAATCTAAGCTGATGGTGTTCCGGACATATGGCCAGCAAGTGCTTCCCACATTTCTCAAAGCTCACTACCCCATATATGCCACTCTGAAGGATACAGAACTATCCTCACAGACCTGCACTAAGACTTCGACCAGCATTATTCCAACTTCACTGACAATGATGGAGAGCTATAGCTGGTGTCGTCGCCCCTCTCATTGAGAAAGGATGTGCAACTGGAACTGATTGACATTCAGACCAACCCTTCAACATTCACAAGCCAAAATTGAATACATCCACGCTGGACAACTTCAGAAGTTCATCGAAGAAAAACAGGAACGAAACTGAGTCATAAATGCACTGGGGATGCTAATTGTGTTTGGATCCACATAACAGGCTCTAACTGTAATGAACTACAACAAGTCATGCCATAGAAAACAATAGATAAACATCTGTCAGCTGTGCTGCTTATTACAACAGCAGTCATGACACCTGACTTGGATGGTCCCACAAAGAGAGGTGACCCTCCCATTTTTCCCACTACACTGGGGTCAAATACATGGAAAGAAATGCTTCTCATGACATGGCATCATTAGTGTCTCAGTTAAGGTTTACACTGGTCCTCAGGTGAGTTACAGCTACACAAGGAAAACAGGACCCAATCCAAAAAAGGATCCACCCTGCCAGGTGAAGTCCCCAGGTGATATTTAGAAACTTCAACAGCCCAAACTGAAAGTATAATCTTATCGTTTTTTTAAAGCCTGGAGTCTTTCTAGACAACAGTTGTGCCAGAAAGTGGTTGTGGAGAGAAAATCCATCAAGCCAGCACTCAGGACAGTCTTTCCCGTCCCTTCTGGTACTTACAGCGGTTGAACTTTCTTTTGCCCTCTACCTAAAGCTCTTAAGGACATTCTGAGATGCCATCTCCACATGCTGTGTATACTCTCATATATTTTTAGCTCCAGCTCAATGATTTTGACCTTCCTCCAGGGTAGCCTTGTGTCTACATGGAGTTTATAGAAGGACCAGGAGGTGTCTCCTCTGAGCATTACTGTGTCTGCTGTTGATTTCATTTTTGACTAAGGAAGCATGACGTTTGCCTGGTAGGCCAACTCTGTTTGTTGTGTCAGGTGAAAATGATGGGGCTGCCGGCTGGCTGACAGATTTTCCTCGCTGTAACATGTTGAACAGTCAACACACTGGAAGTAGAAGATTCATTGACAGCAGATGAACATTTGAAGAGGATGTGAAACACTTTATGTGCCTGTCATACATGTCTTAGTATTAGTTTGTCATGGATTTTACTTGTGTTTGGTCATATGAACGTCTGTGGGTATTTCAGAAGGTGACTTACACATATTGAGGAAGAGCATGTTGACCTGAAAATTTACTAGAGGGAAAAATTAACTTCCCTGGTCTTACCTCAGTTTCTCATTTCTAATGGAGTCAGGGAAATGGTGAGAAAAAAACCTACCATTGCTCTGCAGTGCATGGATAAAGGGAATAGGATGGGCTCTTTAATGTGAGGTTAATATATGATTCATTATTTCCACTGTAAAACATTTGACTGATGTTGTTTGTGGTATCTGCAGGTGGGGAGCTGTTTATGCAGCTGGAAAGAGAGGGCATCTTCATGGAGGACACGGCGTGGTGAGTTAGTTTGTTTGACACCAAAAAAAATCTTTCTTCTGACCCACGAATACAAATGATTGAGTTTCTGGAAAGTCTCCTGCTGCAGGATGTTTTGGTTAAACATGTCAAATCTCAATTTCTTTGGATCTTTTCATCCCCTTTTCAACCCACACCTCAAGTGTTTATACACATATTCAAAAGCCAGCTTCACAAACGACAACATAAAACTGTTTCCAAATGGGGACAGTTTGGGTATCCCAGCATGTAACCATTGTTGTAAGTTGTCTCTTAGAAAACTAACTCTAACAGTTAAACAAGCAGCTCTTTGGTTTTGGAAAACAGGCTGACATGACACAGTTTTTAGTCAGTGTGACGTTAAGTCAGAACAAATACTTGAAGTACCTGCTGTTCTGTTTTATAAACACAGCCTGTCGATGAAAACAGTGATTACATGAGCCGAGCTGCTGAACAAATAAGGGTGTGTAATATTCCTGGAAATGACTCCTACACTGTGGATCATCCAGGAACACATGATGGAGACTTCTTTGATGACATTATCAGCCATAGGTTCTTAATTTGAATCAAATGTTGCTGATCTGACAGCCTGGTTTTCTTTTCCTGAGCACAGTTTCTACCTGGCTGAGATCTCAATGGCACTGGGTCACCTGCACCAGAAAGGCATTATCTACAGAGACCTGAAGCCTGAGAACATCATGCTCAATAACAACGGTACAGAAAACATGGGGGCGTACATGGAGGGCTTCACTTACATACATGTCCTTTCTTTATATGACCTTTATTTCCCAGACGGGATCTCTTCCTCGAGTCATCTGAGACTTAATCCATAGTTTCTCTGGTTTATAGTTTGGCTCATGTTCCTTCTTTGTCTCTGTTTTCCTGCAGGACACGTGAAGCTGACAGACTTTGGTCTGTGCAAAGAGTCCATCCATGACGGGACGGTCACACACACCTTCTGCGGCACGATCGAGTACATGTATGTCACACAACTATTGTCCAGATCTAATAATTGATCCAGCTCCCAGCTTTGTGGTCATGTTTCCTGCCTCCTACACAGAGTGGTGCGTTCGCTTTCTCATGTTTCATACACGTGTCCTTCCTCAGGGCTCCAGAGATCCTGATGAGGAGCGGACATAACCGAGCAGTGGACTGGTGGAGTTTAGGGGCTCTGATGTACGACATGCTGACAGGAGCAGTAAGTGCAGACCAAGCAGTCCAAGAGTTGATAAATAAAGAACACTGTTCATGACCACACTGCAGGGGTGTCAAATTCAACATTTCTTACTTATGCTAGTGGATACATATGAAGCACACTAGTCTCTATCTTTTTTACAGAGTCGACATAAAAATGTTGAATATGTAAACATGGTCTAGATCTGGGAAGTGTCCTGGTTTCTGTTTGTAACGCATTGAGGTCCAAGTAGTATTGACCCATCATGCACAAGCAGGCGGTTCTGAAAAGACAGATGGTGTGCAGAGCAAAAGCAGGTGGAACACACACCACAGTAATGACAGCCTGGCTCCCACCAGCAGCACATCCATTCATCTCCATGAACAGATTTTTTTTGTTATTTATGCGTAAAACTTTACACTTGTGACAAACCGTTTCATTACTGGGTTGCAAAATCCTGTGAGGTGTTACATTTCCTAACTTCCCTGAATGCATCAGGAAGAAAGACCTTTGTTCAGAAAGTGCACACGATGAAATGGTTCCCTTTCTTGAGGACAGATGGACAAATCGTGCATTTTTACTTTGTACAAATGTGCATCTATTTTGGCAAACTTCAAATCCATAAATTGTATGACAAGCAAAAGTTTTACCAATGCTCCAATTCTAAATATTTGTTATATGGTTTAGAATGAACATAAACTGTGTTCAGTGAGACAAATATTACTGATTTTACCCAGAGTCTCAAGCATTGTAAAATAACAAGTTTTAGAGCTGTAATAATTAAGAGCTATAGCACCATACCGTGTCAATGTGATAGAACTGATTAAAGATACTGTCAGAATCTCATACTGATCTACTCGTGAACTTTGACCTCATCGTATTCAAAACATGACCTGAGGCTATCTAAGGGGATGTAAAGGAACCAGAAATGACGTTGCAGATGTAAACACAGCAGGCTGACAGTTTATTGGCTGAAAGTTTTTTTCATGACTGCTGGCTGCTCTGTAATTACTGAGAAGTTGGCATCTGTCCTCAAGGGCAAATAGCACATCTCATCACCAGCTGATGATGGACGAGGATTGCTAATGCATCCTGGGATTGATAGCACACCTATTTTCCATCATAATTATGGCTATGGCAGCATCCTGATTTTCATACAGGTCTGTTGTATTTACGATAACAGGTTATCAGGGTCCCACAGATGTAGAATAAAAAAAGTTTGATCAAGCCCAGGATGAGCTTTTTTTAATGTATTTATTAAAACGTTGAGTCATACCAGATTATAATTTTTTTGTTTGTTTGTTTTATTTTATTTTATTTGTATTTTTTTTTTTTTTTGGGGGGGGGGGGTAAATTTAAGTTATGAAGTTATGGTCAAACACACCATAACACCGAGTTAGACGCCCCCTCAAGAGATGAATGTTGCCAACTGCTTGCTTCTCCATTTATACCAACCTGAGTAACGACCACACGACAGCAATACACAGCGGTCTACATCTCCATTAGCAAACCTCAACCAAAAAGCCACTCTATAGCTACAAATGATGTTCAGAACAGCACCTAACTTCATCAACAGTACATATAGGGTCCCAGCCATAGTACGAGCCATCAAACATTTTTTTAGCTTTGCCTAATTTCTTTAGCAAAGAGACTAAACACAACTCACCCACTCTCTTCCAGCAGCCGCTTGTTTGTGGGGGAGCCTTGACAAGTCGATCACTGAGTGCAGTGGAGTTTTGCAGCTCAAGGAAGAAAATTCATCATTATTACTTCATGGAAATGCAATCAGAGTTCTTGTGTATCTTGTATGTGCTCTGCAGACGCGGTAGTTCTTCGGCCTTAGTGTCTTGGTCTGATCATACGCTGGAATATCCCTTAAAGGTTTAACAGCAGATTAGGGTTTCTTTCCTGATCGCAGCCCCGTGTGTGCACACAAACTGACCAGCTGACAGTTTGCAAGTCTGAGAGTAAACAAGAAAAGTGAGGATGATGCTTCCAAAAGTGCAGCTGCAAGTTTCTGGTGTTTTTGATTAACAATGTATGAGTGTGGAGAGAAAAATACTCTGAGGGTTTTTGAACCTGCTTTTGATTTGGATGGCCAAAATTGAAAGCTCATTTCAGTGAATATTTTATTCAGGCACGAACTGCAGGCATGACAGACCATTTCAAGAGGGCAGCATGAGTGAGTGATGCATTCTCTTACATTTGTTTCTGTGTTGATTTGCTCTCTCAGCCTCCATTCACCGGTGAAAACAGAAAGAAGACGATTGACAAAATCTTGAAATGCAAACTCAGCCTTCCGCCTTACCTCACACAAGAAGCCAGGGACCTCCTGAAAAAGGTGAGCCCTGAAGGTTATCCTTCTCTCCTTGTTAGGTAAAACATCTTGATTGGCAGAAAACTGAGTGTCCAAACTTTCTCTGTCAGCTGCTGAAACGAAACGCCTCGTTACGACTCGGAGCAGGACCAGGAGATGCTGCAGAGGTCCAGGTAAATCCATCTGTCAAAAGCAGTCTCAGAAGTATGAGCATGCATTAACATGATGAAAAATAAAAATGCCTCTTTAATCTTGAAAACCTAAAACCTGGTTTCTGTCATCAAATTTGAAGGCCCACTTGTTCTTCAGACACATAAACTGGGACGACCTCCTTGCTCGGAAAGTGGAGCCTCCATTCAAACCTTTCCTGGTGAGTTTTCCTCATTTCTAACAGCATCGTCCTCTGTGGCGGATCCATAAAATGGGATTAACCGATCTGCTTCTTTTGGCAGCAATCAGCTGATGATGCCAGCCAGTTTGACTCCAAGTTCACCAGCCAGACCCCTGTGGACAGTCCTGACGACTCCACGCTCAGCGAAAGTGCCAATCAAGTCTTCCTGGTGGGTAACACTCTGCAGGTCTGCAACAACACTGAACTGGTGATCTGCCAGTATCAAACCTTTTTACTCACCCACTGCTCCCCAAAAAGACATAATACCAGTGTCCCTGCCATTCGATTGTTACTGCCAGCAGGGCTTGTTGATCCACAGCAGGAGCTCCATATACAGACTCACAGAAGGCTTCCACACTCTGCATCACCACTGTCACAAAAGTCTAAATTATTACATGTGTAAGCAGCGTTGAATAGTCAATAATAATATTTCAGATCAATGTGTGACTGTGTGTGGATTTACACACTAGCACAAGCAAACACACATCATACAATAATCAAACAAACAAACAATGAGTGAGCAGATGAACAGCAGGGACAGTGTAATAAGTCTCTGTAGGAAAGAGGGCAGAGGGCTTTGTCTCTGGGACACGGCTGAGATCATGAGTCAGTGTCTCCAGAGGAGCAATAAATCGCACAATGTAGTGATGTGTGATATCCACATGCTGCTTATTCGCACCTGCAGAACAGACCGCTGTAACTCTTGGACTCTTTTACCAAGAGTAAGAGAATTATTAACCAGAAGCTGACGTCTTTATTAAACAGAGCGTCTCCAGTCTTCACCATCAGATTCCTACAGCAGCCTCAGACTTCAGCTGAGTCTCTCTAATAAGCATCAAACTTGGAAATAATAACTGAAATCATAAATAAGACCCAGGTACCCACAAGTTCTGGATAAAATCCTCTGTAGCAGTCTATAAAGAACCTTCAGTCCAGTCTGACTCAGAGTTTTATTGTCCCTCAAGGGAGATTTGAGCTACGCAGTGACAAAAACATTGCACTCGAGCTTTGCAAATTACGGACATTGATTGCTCACTGAAAAAAAAGTAAGTTCATACTTATTTGTTCTTGCTTTCAGGAGCCTACGGTCCAGTTCTTAGTTCAATATGAAATCAACTATCTGTTTGTGTTGAATCTTAGTTTTACTGTAAGATGTAAGTTACACAGAGGCTTCACTCTGACCTGATTCAGCAGAAGGATACTGCAACTATTAGCAACTAACAGGTCTCAAGTTTTCAAGTCACAACATAATGATGCAGATTTGTAAAAAGACGTTTTTAAGGAGGAGGAGAGAAGAAACTTATGAAAGTGTTTGCTTTCTTTTTTTTCTTGAACTGCTGATTGTTTTAGTGATTCAGTGCTGAGCAGACTTGTTGTTCAATGTCGAATTTAAAACAGACTGTTAGCTGCATAAAGGAATTAGTTTACAGAAATAAATATGATATTAGGATTCTGCTGACGGCAGCTGAGGTGTCATTGTTGCAGAGTGTTTTGCTCTCCTCATGGACAGTTTTTCCTGCAAACACCAGAGTCAGCTGATACTGACTGATCAGTGCTACCTGAGCTCAAAAAACACTACAAATGAAACGAGAACACTTCATATAGACTCTCAAATACTGAGGTAAATACATATCATTGGTATAAAAACCGTTAAGGATAGCAGACACCAATCAGAACCAGTAAAAAACAAAGTGTCAGCATTATAAGTGAGTGGTCTACAGCTGTTTTAACTAAGTGTTTTTAGTTTTGGTACATTAGCCAGTGTTAGAGAAGTATCAGGTGACATTTAAAGAGTGGTACTGAAAAGAAAAAAGTTCCTCCATCACTTATTTGTTTTTATTACTTCATCCTTGAGAGTGAATGTGACTTCACAAGAACAGTTAGTGGGAGTAAACACTTACTGGACTCCAAACCTGCAGAAAGAGCCTATTTCTGGTAATAATCTCCATAACTTTATTATCTAAGTAATCCAAAGTTCCTGTGCACACATCTTGTCAACAAACACACACACAACCACAGAGGTCAGCTGCAGACTCAGTGTTTTTTTCATCCTCTTCAACAAGTCGCTCTTACGAGAATCTGCTAATGTAACACATCTGGTCCAGTGTTGTTGGTTTTCCTGGAAGCTTCTCTCACTGCTTCACCACATTGCATGATCCAGTTTACTCAGCGTTTCATTGCTCATCATCAGCTGTGGGTTGTTTTTGGAACCATGTCTTTGAAGAGGTGGACTCACATGTCCGTCTGTTATTGTCCCCCTCCTCTGCCCTCAGGGTTTCACATATGTAGCTCCATCTGTGCTGGAAAACGTCAAAGAGAAGTTCTCCTTCGAGCCAAAGGTCCGCTCACCGCGGAAGTTCCCTGGAAGCCCAAGGACACCTGTGAGGTAACAACAAGTTGTTGTTTTTTCTCTCTGGTTCCCTTGAATTCCTCTGGTCATCATTTACAGATTTTCCACGTAGCAAGTCTTTTCCTGCTTCGATTACTCATTTGCAGAGCTTGTAAATGTTGCCAGATTGATCTGAAACAAGCCAATAGAATAAACAAAAGTCCTTTTACAATGGCTGAGTCTTCTCAGCATCCAACATGTTCACCACCAGTAAAGCTGGGCCATGTGAATTAGAAAAACTGTGGGTTTTTTTTCACACCACAGCTTCCTTAAGTATAAAAAACATTTTATCTATCACCCAGCTTTCTCGCTGATCAGCAGACTGTGTTAAATACTCAATTCTGATTGGTTAAAAACCCTTGACAACAGGTTTGGACTCTGCATAACAAGAGCAACAACAGAAACAAGCAGATCACACACCATGTCAAATGTCTAACCCTGCTGGTTGAAGCTCCAGACATCATATACTTGATTGTACGTCGTGTCACCGCCATCTTGCTAAGGGCGTTCTGGAAAGATGCTTATTCACATGTATGTAGAACCATGCCCTCTGCCTGACTGTTAAATCAAGACGCCCTTTTTCTAACACAGCCTTCAGTGGAAATGATCAATGAAAGGATTATCATCATATCAGCATGCTAATGATTTAGCTGGAATGTTACATAAAATCAGAGAGACATTTTGAAATGAATGAAGGTGTCATTAAATCAATGTTTAGTTTCAGTATATTCATTAGTTAAGTCGGTAGCCAGCTAGTAAGTGGTGTAATGCATGGTGAACCTGGAGTTATGGACATTAGAATCCAGTCACTGTTGATTTTTAGCTCAAAATACGAATTTTTCTTTTATTTGAAAGACAGTCTTTGTCAGTTCCTGTATATTGTGACAGCTCTGGTCAAAACAGCAATATTTGTTGTTTTATGGAAAAGTGTCAGCTCAATTTAACTTTGATGCCAGTAATATTAATAAGTCATTTAGTTTGTTTATTGCCCTTAACTCTATATGAGTCAATCAGAACCAAAAACACACATTTTTATAGTTTCATTTTCTTCATTGTTTTCATATTCCAGTAAATATCGTAGAGAGACAACACAGTGCAATGTCCCGCTGATTATTTTTGAAACCCATGTACTCAGTTTCTCGCCTCTTTCTTTACAGCCCGGTGAAGTTTGTCGGAGGGGACTGCTGGCCTCGGGGCCCTTCGCTGACCGGCTGCCCCTCTCTGCTCTCTCCTGGTAACTGTGTAGAGCAGCCCATGGAGGTGTCCACAGAGGAGCAGATGGACATGAGTAGCAGCAGCAACTGTGAAGCCTCCGCCCCTCTTCCCATTCGGCACCCCTCAGGCATCAACGCAGGGCCGTACAAAAAGCAGGTTTACCCGCTGAACTCCAAACGACCTGAACATCTACGCATGAACCTATGACGCCCGGCTTGCCTGTGAGCATTAGGACTCTTCCAATTTGTCCTCCTCTTTCTCTTTTTTTTTTTCTCTTAAAGAGACTTGTAGAATCTTTTTAAATTGACTGACTGACACTGTCAACGCTGATCACCAGCTCTTCCAGCAGCGCCTTCCTTTCTCGCGGCCTCTAAACACCTCCCAACTCAGCCCAGCCTCCGCAGCCTGATGCAGATAAATGGCAGGTTCAGTCCAGAAGACGTGTGGTCAGTCAGAGGAAAAGGTGCTCCTCACTTGCTTCTTAAAAGGGTTGTGTCAGCTGATGACTGCTGGGGTGGTTTTGGTGAACTCAACTGGCTTTATTATACGATTGACTGGTGCTCTGTTATCCTTCACTTTGGACAATGTTACTTTAGTGATTACAAATCATCGCCTCCATCATAGTGAGATGTACGGTTACTAAGTAAGCTGTTGCTCTCTTAATCTGCCCTGTTCATCTTTTTTTTTTGGTTAAATTATCATGATTTGATTAAAAAACAAGCAGGTCATACTGTCAGTTTGCAGGACTCCCAAAAATCACAGCATTTCACCCAGGACAGGTTTTACAGGACAGATTGTTTCACAGGAAAGTATCTCCTTCACCCAGAAACTACTCAGAAAAAAGCTAAACCTAAATCCTTAAACCTGCACTGCAGCTGTTTTAGCAAAACTGCTGTTAAGTCAGATCAAGGAAATGATCAGAGTTTACTCCCGAACGTTTCTTTATAGCCCTACATCATTGGAACAATAATGCAGTGTCTCTTTGTAACTCTGTTTTGTACACAAAATAAGGTTGTCAATGTTTGAATTTACAATGAGACAAAGGGTCTCTTGTAGACAAAAACAGTCAGATGTGAGCTGAACATTATGTATAAACTCTGTAATAATCACTGTGAACTCACTGCTAATGCTTATAGTGCCTAAGTTGTGCATTTTTTTTGCCCCTGCTTCCTGATTTATCTCAAGGGCTGAATCACAGACGAGACTGCTTTGATAGTCCTGCACAAACACCCATACAGTTATACAGCTTAGAGCAGTTTGCTCTTGTTGTGCTTCAGATGAGCTGTTAGCATCACCACACTCTACCCCCACTGAGCTTTGTTTAAATCTGTCCACATACCCACAGCTTCATTATGAGCTAGACTGAAAGGGGAGACCCCTGACCAGTTTATTATGAAGTCCATGTACGACAAATATCACTGTGAGAAAAAAATTTGCAATGAGGTTTGAGAGAGACAGTTCTTCTCGTATAAATGCATAATGGCTCATGTAACATGCCGTTGGCACCCAGAGCAGAGAAGCTACAGTTTTAGATGCATTTAACATTAAATACGAGCTTTCTAAGTTCAAACATTTGTTTCAGTTATTTAGTACATGGCTGAAATGCCGCGTGTTTTAAGGAGTCCTGTTAGTCTGCAGTGTTATTTCATCGTATTTCACAATGAACACAGTATTCCTTTATTTTTGAGGAAACAGTTACAATGCCTTTTTTTTTCCCTGGAGCAGGTGGATGAACTAAGACAAAAGCAGCTATAACAAGAAAAAGAAAAACATGTAGCTGAAAACATATCACTTCCACCACAACCCAAACCAAACGAGTGTGGCGCTTTCTATAGGAGGCCTTTGTTCTAGAAACACTGCTCAGTTTCTTTGTGTTGAATGTAAACAGACTCCTAATGCCTTTTTTAGTGTGTCAAGTTCAGAGTCTTCTGTGAGCTCTGAGGACCACGAATGGTTTCACTCCTGAATTGACAAATAGGAGGATCTGTCAATCCTCTTAACATCTCCATTAAACAGATACAGAGATGACCCCTAAACATCAACACTGGGCACACAGACACACAGACCGGGCTTCATCTACAGGTTACGTAACCTAAACACATGATATTTGTTTGAAAAAAAAAAGTGTTTTTTGGACCTCAAAGTATTTCTTAAATCTAGGCTATGTCTGCTGTTGAGGTCAGAGACCAAAAAATGAAACTCACACACCCTAAAGAAGGTCACGTCTGGTTAAGCTCTGAGTGCTCTGAGGTTTCATCTGGACTGGAATGGATTGGGAATCAACTTTCCTCTATTTTCTATCAGGTTAATCAACTCTCTCTTGTACTGGATTTTCAAGGAAAAACTGGATTGGATAAACTTTACCTTAATACAGAAGATTACACAAAATAACTTGAAATTCTAGTAAGGTTGTTAGTACGGTACAAATGTTGTCCTTTAGTTAAATATTGTATGTTTGATAATAACAGCTTTTTTTTCAACTATTAGGGCCTGTGTCCACCAACAGCCTTTTTTGTTCAGGAAACTCCAACTCTATACAAAACTAGTGCGGTTTAAGCTCTCAGCAGCTCCAGTGCAAAAACACACTGCATGCAGCTGTTTTTTTGTCTTCACATCATTCTATTAGAAATAGTTTAATCTTTGGAAGGCTGCCGCTGCCAGCATCAGACAACCTCTATATGACCGATCAAATTTAAGACAGGGTTGAACCTCTAATATTGATGTCAATAACCATAGCAGAGGCCCATACTGAGCAACTTTCCACGCAATTTCTAGAGCTGCTGCTCATGCTGTAAAAGTTTTACCTGATTTTCAAAATCTTCTCTTCATAAATGTCCTTGAATTTAAGCAAATCAATCACAAACAGTATATTTGAACACATACCTGTTACTACTAAGGGCAAATGTCACTACTGTGGGCGAGCTAGCCACAGTAAACATCAGCGAGAGGTGCTCTGCATCTGCAGTCACAGGTGCAGCCAGTGTTCAAAAATGCTGTTAGTGCACACAGGCCCTTAAGCTTACAACCTGCTTTGTTACTGTCTTGATGCAGCAGTTTAAGGGCTAAACTCAAGTATGAAAATCATTGTTCTGTTTGACCTGCTAGAATATGGAGCGCACTTTGATCCTCTTATCCAGCCTGAATCCAGCTCTGTTCTCTGATCAGGATAATCCACATTTTTTCATCAGTTACCCCAGTCCTGCTTAGAAGTTTTGAACAGAAGTTATTAAACCAGGATTAAATGACCTGATCCAGTCTGAATCCAGTCCATCAGATGACTTTTGAACAGCTGGACCCTGAAGTCAGGCCACTCAAACTCTAAAAAATGTGTAAAATACCCTGTCTTTTCTGCCCAGTTGCTCACTGATAAACAGACAAAATACTACAGCCTCAGTTGAAATCGAGATCCTCAGTTTAACACACCAACCAAAACCCCAGTTTGATGAACCAAATGGATGATTTCAAACAGATCAATCCTGGACAAAGATTTCTCATATTGTTCAACTAGATTTTTTATTAGTTATGTTTTAATTTGTTCTGTAACTTATTTCTTTTTTAACCTGATGAGCTGCTGATTGATTTTCTCTTTCTCTCATTCCAGCACAATACTTGTATTTAAGACCAGCCACCCCACTATTTTCCTTTGTGAAAGAGTTGATGTATTTATTTTAAGTGCCATTTAGTTTCCACTGCATTGTCCACACTATGCAATCTCTGTATTTATTATGTAGTATTATTTAGGTAAAGCTGCGGAATGAGTGATACAATGAGCATGTATGGTTATGATTTAATCTCTGCAGAAAATGTCTTAAAGCAACCTCCGATGCATCTTTTTTTTTTTTTTTATACCAAAAGTCATGACGGTTACCAAAAGTCTGACAGTATTTATTGTGTGGCATCCTATCAAAGTCAGAGAGATTTCCAGCAAACATTTTGATATCTTTGACTTTTCTTGCTTGCTGAAGACTTCAAACTTTATTCTGTGTTTTTGCGGTGCTTAAAGCAAAGGGGGCGGTTCTTATTAAATGAAAAATACCTAATGCAGAATCCAATGGGGATGGCATTGTGCCTTTGCTGATGTGATTTAATATGAGTCTAAAAGAGGTCAGGAGACTTTAGACATTCAGCTAAGAGTGTTTCTATTCACCAATGGGCATTGATGACATTATTCCTGTTGCTTCACCGTAGACCTGCCTCTTCAGAGTGAGAATGTTCAAATGTATCATGTACATAATGAGGTCAAAATAAAAAAACATGGATTTGTTTCCAGTTGAAATCCTATTGTGTTGATTTTCAATATTTGGTCAGCTTCATGCAGGACTTTAACACTTTGCTTGTTACTTTAGTTAAAAGCTAAGTTTTCAAGGTTACAAAGTGAATCAGATGCATGGCTGACTGGACTGACAGGCTGGAACACTGTCGCTATTCGTGAGCAGGCTGCAGGCCCGCCTCTGAGGGTTTGGTTGAGTCAGCATTTCCAATATGGCGACTGTCACTGATAGACTTCACAAACAAATGGGTGTTGTCACCCGTACGTCCAGTTTTGATACAGTCCATCGGTAAAAGGCGAGGCAAGGGTGGAGTAACACATGACTTTATTAACTGAACTAATGAACACAGTCACCTCACACGTCTATTCATTTCCACTGATGCCCAAATTTATGATTTATGATGTTTTCATTACCTGGCAGACCGCTCCAAGATTGTGAAAAGATGTCAGACTATGATAACCATCAGACAGACCTGAACGACCTTCATTTCTGTTAGATATTAAACAAACCAGTTACACACACAAACTGAAATGTAGGTCTTTATTGAGAGTTTTATGGATTTAAATGGATAAAAATAGCAAAGTGATCAGACCTCCTCATAATAAAATATATTCATCTCCTGGTCTTTGGTATTTTACAAAACATGAGGTCACATCACCTCGATAGAAAAATAATTTATGTGTAAATCAATCTCACAAGCTCATTTGCATCCTTATTATCTTTGTGAAAATAAGTCATCAAAACTGAAAGCGTATAAAGCAGACTGTTCATCCATCACACACGCACAGTTATTGTTAACATCCTCAGGCTGACATGTGATGTACAGAGCTTCATACAAACGTCTTCAGTACGCTCATCAGACCTCAAGTCTCACATTGTTTTAACACATTCAGGCTCAAAGATCTGGTTTAAGCAGGGTTCAGAAAGAACTCCTGAGGTCAACACTTTCATTTATTAAAAACACAAGAATCACCTCCACAAACTGAAAAACACTGGGTAAGAAAGGGTTTGTGTTTGTATGGTTGTTCAAAAGGTATTATAAAGAAAATGTCTTGAAAAGACTCTTTAAATATATCTCTCTGATGTTTGATATTTACAGGTGGAAGGAGCGTTTCGCTGCCCTATCAGGGAAAAGTCATTTTCAGATATAAGGTGACAAAATAAGCAAAAACAACACAAGAGGGAAAAACCAGAAATCAGAAAATAAAAACATTAATATTAATCAACTTTACTGTGAGTGCAGTATGGATGTTCTGGTGAATAATCCAGAGACATGCACACAGTAGGTGCAAGTCATGTGACCTGTCAGGATCACAGCCCTTTGCTGATTAATCAAACAGTGTATGTTTCAGCCGGAGGAATAAAAAAAATATTAAATACAAGCTAATACCAGTGTCCCACATCCAAACAGCTCCCTCTCCCTGTCATTGATCAATAAATCTGCAGGTGTGGAGACGTGGCTCCGTCCCTCCATTTGTAGACCTTCTCTGTGATGACGGTGCGGCAGAGAGGGCAGCTCTTCTCCCGGTTAAACCACAGAGCGATGCATTCATCACAGAAAATGTGCTGCACAGACAAAAACAACAGCATGAGAGCACGTACAACGCTGACACACTTCACTCTGAGAGGGACAGAGTCGAGTTTGACATGGCTGTGAGAAACACTTGATCCTTACTCATCTAAACTTCAGTTATTTTTACAGCTGATGCAGACATAACTAGTCCATAATTAGTTTGACAAATGAGAACTAAAACTGCCAGATTATTAAATGTGATTGAATATTTTGTTCAATAAATGGAAATGGAACAATATTTGGCTCAGCACAAAACTTCTACGAGGGTCTTTTAGATTTTGAGCTATCTGAGATTAGAGACAGAGAAATGTAAGAGGTCAAAAATGCAGTTCACATTTTTAAAAGAAGAGTCATGATGTGTAAAGTCATTTTTTTATGCACATTAAAGTCTACTAAACATCGTCATCTTTGCTAGTAACCTGTTGGACATGGGAAAAATGGGTTTTCACTGAAAACAGATGACAGGGCTATCGGTCTTGTTAGGACTGATGCTGATATGACGCCAATATCTGTTAAAGTGCAGTTTACTGACCCACCGATTATCCAGTCTCTCTGCCTCAAATCAACAGTCTGAGAAAAGTACTTCATTGTGTTACAGCATTTTACCCAGAAGATGGCATTTGGAGAAGCAAGTGATCCCTTCAGAGAGCAAAGCATGCTGGGTAAGAGATAGAGAAACGTGGGTGGGCATGAATATTCAGAGTCAGTGCTGTTGTCTGGTGTGCTGACTCTGACCCGGGCTTCCTAAAAACTAAAGACACTGCAGGGTGACTAACGGCTAAAACCCACAGGATCCGGAACGGCAGGTGGATCAAATACGCAAAGTATTATAATCAATGTGTGTGATTCCACACAATCCGTCTGCTGCCTCGCTCCGCTGCGGATCTGCCCCGGCGGTCGGATCAGATACGCAAGGCTTCAATTTTTGCCGGACACCGCAGCACAGCTCATCAATTCAGTGCAGGGCAGCACGAGCAGCAGCGGAAGTTGTATGCGGGTATAGAGTAAAATATCTGGTTAGTTTTCAAAATAATGTCAATACATTGAAGTGTTTTTAACTTGATAATAGGAGAGGCCAGGGTTGTGGGATGTGGTTGTTTATATACACCGCCAATCTCATTCAATGTCGCACAGGGAAACACGCGAGATCTCGTGTGATCTCGTCCAGTCTTGCGAGAAAAAATCAGTAATATCGTGAGCGCTACTCCTCTGCTTTCTGCAGCGGATCAGATCCGGTGGGCGCTGAATGAGCAGAGCCGTTCCAGATCCTGTGGAATCCCAGGGTAAAAGTCTTCAGACATGAAAGGGGGACACATGGCTTTGACCTGGTATGGGGTGAGTGCGCCCTCACATGTGCACAGACAGAAACTCCAACCAGCTAAAACTTGTGGGCCTGTCACTGCAGTTTGACACAAGGATGAGGCTGCGCTCCTCTCTAAAACACTCTCATCATCCTGTCGGGCTCTGTCAGTGCGTCAGAGCGGGTTAAGAGTTTGTATTAGCGGCACAGTGCAATGAGCCAAAATGACATGCTACAGCACAACAGGCCATGCAGTGCACTCTTGTGTGGTTTTACCTGACAGAGCAGCGCCCGAGCCTCCCTGTACTCTCCCTGACAGATGGGGCAAACATCTCCAGCCTCGCTGCACTGGCTCCTGCTGGCTGCTGAGCCTGTGTGCTGAGGAAAAGAAGAAAAGACAACTCTCAACACGGCTGATTCCTTATTCTGAAGGTTCAGTATTTAACAAAAAAAACATTCTGGACCACTGACCTCGCCCTTTAGAAATATCCTCACAGTTTTCAGTAGCGACGTCCATTGTCCGTACAATCCTAAAAGCTGAGGAGTAGAAAAAAAAAGAGAGATGTTTTTCAAAGGCCCGACTTCTTTCAACAACATTTTGACAACAATCTGCTTCGAACTGACCTTCAGAATGAGGTAGAGCAAAGCCAGCAGGACCCCCAGTGTGAGCCCAGGGGTCCCATCAGCCTCCTGGTAGGTGACCAGGTAGCGGAACCACAGTGGAACAGGCGCCATGGCCTGGTGTACCTGACCCACCTCCTCTGTCAGCATCAGCCATCGGCCCTGAAGAAACAATGAGGCATGAAAAGACGAAGAGACTCAACCAGCACCGCTTCTGTGGAGCTTGAGAGTTTTTTTTTCTCACCTGGGCTCTGTAGGTCACCAGGGAGGATGGCAGCAGCAGAATAAGGCACTTGATCCCCATGTAGAGGAACTTAATTACAAAGTTGGTGATACTGATGGCCCATAAAACCTCCCAGAAACCCAGCTGCTCGATGGATGGGCCGAGGAAGATGAGGCTGGAAGGAGAAGGAGAGACAGATGAAATGACAAGTTTAATTAGCAGTTTAGACACTGGGTTGTAGGCTCAGTAGTCCAAAGAAGCTATGTTAAGATTAACTGTAAAGTAAGCCACATGATAAGTTCCTGTACATGTTTCTTTGGACCTCAGTGTGGAGGCTGGTCTGAATCACTCTCTCCACAAACAGAAAGAAAACTTCTCCTTTCCGAAATTGCAGGGCAGTTTTCTCTTCAAAAATTTAAATCCTGCACAAAGACGGCGACCAAAGCCGCTTTCTTTCACTGCAAAGGTTTGGCAGCTCTTTTTCTAACATGACTACAAAATTCTTGTTCATGCATTTATTCCAGTAGATTAGATTACAACAAAGCTCTTTTCACTGCTCTCCCAGAACAATCCACTGATACGCCAAGATCAGCTCTGAACACTGCTGCCTGGGTTTGAGCTAAAACTAGAAAAAGAGCAAATTTAATTCAGCTTAAGCAAACCTGCACAAGCTCTCAGTGTCTCCCAGAATAAGACCTTTAAAGGCTCTAAATTTAGGACCAGTCTAAATAACTTACTCTCTTTTGCATTATAATCTTTCATTGCCTCCTAAATATGCAAACCCAATTCAAAAGGCTTCCTGTCAGTAAAGACAAGATCTGATAGAATGCAAATCATTTCATTCCTATAATCAACTGCAAATACAACACATGCAGAGAATTTCTTGTTTTATGAAAATCTTTTTTACATTTGAAGACAGCAACACCTGTTAAACATGTAAGACAGGAGCATGTTTACCTCTGTGTTGCATTTCCTTGAACAACTCTATAAATGTTTGGAAACCCAGCAGACCAGTCCCAGAGTCTGGAAAGTGGGATATTGTCCCATTCGTGTCTGATAAAAGGTTTCAGTTGTTCAACAGGGAGGAAGTCTCCTTTACGGATGTTTTTGTTTCATAATCCACCAAATATTTTCAATAGGTTAAGTCTGGGCTGCAGGGAAGTCAGTTTAGCACCTGGACTCTTCTACTACAGAGATACGCTGTTGTAATCCCTGCAGAATGTGGTTTGTGATTGTCTTGCTGAAATTTGAAGGTTTTTCCTGATAGACTCTTTGTCTGGATGGCAGCAGATGTTGCTCCAAAATCTGTATAACTGGTCGGCAATAATGGGTTTCCCAAGGTGTGTAAGCAACACAAGCAGTCAGCATCTCAGCATCTTCATACCATTACAAGCTGAGTAGTCCCTCTCTCCTTCAAAGTTTAGAACCCAGTGTCAATGATTTTCAAAAAAGACTGTTAAACATTAAATTGTCAGACTACTGGACAGTTACTCACTTCATGTTTATAAGTGATTTCCTCTTTGCATGCTACAGTCCACCACAGAGTCATGTCTGCTTTTATTAAAGCGCTCCAATCTTTACCTCTGGGAAACTGAGCATCTCTGACTTAATCATTTTATTCCCAGCTTTTTGTTTCTTTTTCAAATTCACATTCGGCTAAAATGATTCAAACAGTTTACATTGTGTCCCAACTCCCAGGGAACTGGCGTTACACAAAGTCTTTCTTAGTTTCCAAATAGCTATTAACTATTTGCTACTTTCTTTGTTTTATCTGTATTCTATTTGTTAGCATCTATCTCTCCTCACTCCTGGATTGCTGGATTTTGTTGCTTGATCATAGTTCCCATTATTTAAAGTTGTTTAAGTTTTCTGTCTTGGTTTATTCCTCTGTCATATTTAATTCTATGGTGATGAGCCTCTCCACTCATGTCAAATGTGCCACAAAATATTCTTATTCCCTCTCCTCCTTCTTCATATGATACTTTACTGATTTTATTTGTCATAGTGGTAGCACCAGTAGGTCATTCCAAACATGTACTCATTTTGATATTTGGTTTCACTCATATGATACATGCAACTACATGTAAGAGCAAAACAAAACAAAGACATGTATTCTCTTTTTTCACTCAGCTGAGTTAACTCAGGTCATGTTCACACCAAAAGATCCATTTTCCGATATGAACCAAAGCGAGGATGATACACTGAAAATATACTGCAATATCTCACTTGGTCCGGTTCGCGTTCACAAAGGCCAAACTCAAATGGTCCAAAAATTGTCACATGGCAGCAAATGCTGTTTGGTGATTGCTTATACAGTTTAGGCAGGTAGACGACAAATCCCTCGCAATTTTTACTGTACATTACGGAGCATCGTCTGCTCATTTTTATGTTGGTGCTGATCTGGACTGCATATCAGCAGACTTTAACGGACCACGCATATTGAATGGCAGGGAAGACTGCGACAATTAAATAACATATTAATACACACACATCGCAAGAGACGATCTGCAATTGATCATATCACAGAAGACAACAGGCAATAACGAGAGCCTACCTTTGTTGTTTTTCGAGACGCGCTTCCTGTGACTGGTACAGATGGGGTTCACACCAGAAGTAAACCGCTCTAGAGTTCACTTGAAAGCGGTCAACCGCCACCAGGCAGACCCGAGAGGCCAGAGTACGAAGCCAGCGTTCACACCAACCAAAACAAACCGCACCAAGGAGGTATACACTCCAGGGTTCAGTTCAACTGGACTAAACGAGGCTGGTGTGAACGCGACCTCGGTTTGACTGTGACTATACTGACTATCAATGAGCCACAGTTTAGGACACAGCCCCACAGTAATGCTAACTTGAGACTGTGCGTTTACTCTTACCAATGGTAAAGTGTCTCAGTGTGGAAAGTGTAATAAAGCAGGAGGGTGGAAGAGGTCAGGAACAGCAGCAGCCATACACTCTGCAGCTTGGACTGACGATCCTGAGTGAGCAAACAGTCAAAAAAAAGGATTCAGAAATCAGATGGCAGTCAGATTTATGAGCGATCAACAAGTGGATTTTTCTGTTCCTGACTTACCTGAAGAAAAACTTGAGTTTGAATGTTTTTATTCACATATAGAAACGTTGTAAAGAGGCCAACGCCAACTGCTAGACCTGGTAGATAGTGAGAAGAAGTTTGGTAAGTTTACTGAAGGTGGCAGCTGCAACAGTGGTATTAGCCTGATGTTTACTCACCAAGAGCATGCTGGATGACCAGTTTAGCACACAGTATGATGAGGAAAGGAAGACTCTTTTGGATCCAGCGAAAAAGACAGCGCAGCTCTGACAGAGAGGTGGTGGGTTCTCCAGAGTCCACATCAGAGTCAGGTGACTCAAGATCTGGCTCCGAGTTTGGGTGATGCTGCGCTCGATGGTGTCCATGTGACTGAGAGTGGGAGTGACCATGAGAGTTGATTCTGCACCTCCTGGATGATGCACCTCCACCTGACTCCCCTGACCCACCGGTCATGGGTACCCGTATTTCAACACTCTCAGGACTGGCAGCAGGGGCAGCAGCAGCACCACCACCAGGAGCTGGAGTCCTGGTGAGAAGCTCTGGCTGCAGAGTTAAAGATAAGCCATTTCCTGAATGAGCGCCCTGCTCACTTGAATTCGGCTGCATTACAGTAGGAGACTCCCTCGGTTTCAGTGCTCTTCTGGTATTACTCCTGTGACAGAAAAGACAAGTGAGAAAGGAACAGTGAGAAAGTAAATCAAAAGCTTGAGCACAGTTTGATGAACTTTATTTCTTTGAAAAACCAGAAATAACATGATGAGTCTAAAAAATGAAAAAAAAAAAAAGTTTTTTTTTATATTTTAAAAGCTCCTGTGAGGCACTTTTGTTTCAGGTCATTTAAGCCTCCCTGTGGACAAAGTGGTTTTTATTATCTTATTGCTAGCCTTGTCTTTTATCAATCAGTCAATCAATCAAACTTTATTTTGAAAGCACTTTTCATGCATAGAATGTAGCACAAAGTGCTGTTCTTTCGCACAGGATATTAAAAAACAATGAAATAAAATAAATACAAATACAAATACCAAACCCCACCCACCGTCCCAACCCCCATTCAACACATACGGCACTCACACACTCACACACACAGATGCATACACAACAGACCAAGTGAGGACTCTTCAACTTGCCACAGATGACTGAGGAAATGCTATCTTGAGTTAAAACAAATGAGGAAACACTGGATCTAGGACTAAAATAATAAAACCATGATAAAATACAATAAAGGTGATGAAGCATTAAAAGTTACTTCAATGAAACAGTCTTAAAATCAAACAATAACAGAAAGTAAATTAAAAAAGAGGTAAAACACAAAATAGTTACTCTAGGGCTAAAATAGGGTAAAATCTCGTGACACAGATTAAAAGATTAATACAAAATTCAACTAAAAGCTAGGCTAAAAAGGAAGGTCTTTGGTTTAATTGTAAAAATATACACGTATAAACTGTGTTTTCTGACCAAAATCTCACCCTGTTATCTTTTGTCAGTCGTGTGTATCATTTAGGGATGCACAAGTTTATCACTTGAACATCAGATTATCAGGCGTGTTGATAAACATTAGCAAGTGCCATGCACCAATGTCAGTGGCTGATGCTAATCTGTATACTCTACAATACTATCTTGATTTCTATCATCCTGATCTATATCTGTAAAGCCTTTACACCTTTACTACAAAAGAACACTGAAATCCAAAATTCACAACTACCTTAGCCTGTAATATGTTTTACTGAAAAATGGTGAATAAACCAGTTTGTGAAATACTACTAGTACTATACTATACTACTACTAATATACTAGTAGTTGAAAACGCTTTTCTGGTCCGAGTTTGATTCATGCTAGAATATTACTGAGATGATCAGTCAGTTGTCCTGTTGGCGTGAAGAGCAGAAGCCTACAGTATATTGAGTGTTCCTCATTTTTTACGATGTACGTGAGTTAGCTTTATTTTTTATTTTTTTATTTATATAGGCTATTTATTTTAGAGGATGGCAAGTGTGAGTGTTTGACAAGACGGAGGTTGACAAAATAATCAGAGTCACACCTGCTACAGTCTGAATAATAAGCTGAAAAGAATTAGTTTATCATCTTTATTACAGTTAAAATAAATAGCCAGGGGTTGTTTTAGCAATAAAAATTCGTTTTCTGCCTTTAATTCTTTGAAGAGGTGTTTGAAAGGCTCATAAGCAGCCTTTGTTAAAAAAAAAGAAAAAAGTAAATATGTAGACATATTACTTAAATTTACAAAATTTTTAAACTTAAATAAATAAAAAATTGGCCGATTAATCGGTAATCGGATCCCCCCCCAATAATCGGTATCAGCCCGAAAAATCCATATTGTCGAGCCCTAATTAGTATCGGCCCTGATTTTCAGCATTAGTGCAAGTGTAGTATCACTCAGTGTGAATATCAGCTGTGAAAAGTGTTTAAGAAACAAACTTGAGAGTGCTGTCACTCATCTGTCTCCTCACAGCACACTAGCCTTCTAAAAGGAGTTGTCAAACTTGTTGCTAATGTTCTTATTTACATTCAAGTAATAAAAAAAGGCACCTGAATTATTGCAGGCCGTTTTATCGACAGTTAAAAAATTCTCAATTTAATGAAAGAGACAATTGTCATTTCAATACTACTAGATAACTATGAAATAATATATCTTAATTATCTGATAAACTGAAGACTACAAAATGACCCACTAAGGACCAGATTACTCCAAGTTTTGGAGACTCTTTACCCTGCTCTGTTTACACGGACAGGATTACTAACATTGCAGAAATACAGCTCAGTTTTTAGAATTAAAGGACAAATGTTAGAGGTTTTGAGTTACTTTCAATCGATCCTTTTCAGAGTCCTGACAGCTAAAGACAAGCTAACCGTGTCCTCCATTGAGTAGCCGCTAGCTTTAGCAGCTAACAGATGTTTTCTATCAGCTCGGATTTACTGTCACTGTTTCAGCTCACCTGTCATTCTGCAGCCGGAGTTTCATGGTAAGCGCTTGGTCTCCATCTAATACACTATCAAAGTCGCCAAACGTAACAAAAGCAAAAGTAAATCAAAAACAAAAACTAAGCTTTTATTTTTCTGGCTACGCTGCTCGTTCAGACATATTGACGTTGTTTACGACAATCGACGTCACAAAACTTCTTCTGTTTGGTATTAACGGCGTAACTGATGAAAAACGCTGCACTGCCGCCACCAAGTGGTGCAAATCAAAATTACAGCTGACAGGTTATACAAGCATATTCAATATATGCAGCGTTTACAAAGATTTGTTACCTTTCTCAATCGATCCTAAAATCTGATTTTATCAATAAAGCACTCTTTATACAAATCAAACACAGTTTTAAGCGCTTTACAGCGATTGAAAACAAAATTTAAAAGAGATTAAAAATAGAATATTAAAAAAATTAATTAAAAGGTAGAGACTAATGCACATTAATAGCAAAAAATGTAAGTAAAACAGTGAGTCAAAGCACAAAAACAACTAAATATGAATTTAAAACAATAGTAAAAGAAAAGATATGTTGGTCAAGCGAGATAAAAGTACTGAGATAGCAATAATGAAAGATAATAGTCAAGAATAAACCAACAACACAACATTGACATTAATTTTAAACATCAAATGAGGTCCTAAAAATCACACAAGGGAAGATCAAGAAATAACACACATTATTTAAAAAAAATCAAATTATTGTCATTTATGTATCTGCATTATTGTATACATCACAGCAGAAATTATATCAAACACAGTCCAGTATCTGTTTCAGATTAGAAATGTTGTCATTTAAGATTGGAAGAATATGATCTTATTTGAAGGGCATAACATAGCTCAACAGCAGCCACAATGGTGAGGTTGCCTGCAGTTACTGCAGGTATCAATGTTTATTTTTTCAATTTACCCTGTGAGCACAATCATCAACCAATGAAGATTGTTTCAAAAGGCCATTAATCAGCCCAGTTGATTGGCTGGCTGGTCCAATTTAGTATGGGGAAGGCAATAAATGATGAAATACTGTGAGGATGGATTTGCCTCAATAGTTTATGTTTTCCTGATGTGACCTGTACATAACAGTTGAAACCAGACACTGCTGCAGAGATTGTTTAATTACATCAATTACAATGTAATCCTTTGACTGACCTAAAAAAGACCTGAAAAAAAAAAAAATCACTTTAAATGCTCTCAACACCCAGAAAGATTTCTCCCTGACAGATGTTACAATAGGACTAAAACCTTGTTCACTTTTCAGCAGAGCTTCTTGACAAAAACTGACTGCAGTCCTTTGACCTGCTTCTGTTAAAGCTGCTGTATTTCCTGCTGTATTTCTGCCTTTACGTAGCTCAGAGTCTGTGTGAGTATGAAGTCAGCCACTATGGTGAAAGGAGGTTAATGTACTATGGCTGTTAGATCTGTTCTCCGCTCCATTCTCCGCCCTGTAATTGTGTTACTGCACCATCGAATTGTCAGAGGAGTTGTTCTGCCCCAGTCAGACATCAGAGCCAAGTCTGTGGAGGGAGGTTAACTTGACATATAAATTGCTATCTGCCAAGATGAATGGAGCCCGGCAGAGAGCAGATGAGGAGAGCCGTGCCCTGACATCGCTTCTGACAGACTCTGTATATCCCCCGTCATCTTTCTCCCTGTCTCTGTCTGAACATGGTGCCAGCTGCTGCCTCCTCTGATGTCTTACTGAAGCTGCCAAGACTCCCTGCTTATACACTACTAAATGTGTACATACATATGTGTGTATATGAGTGTGTGCTGTTGATAAAGCAGAGTAAATCACTATTCTTAGCGGCCTGCTCACTTGGTTTCAATTTTAAATGTTTAAAAAAATAAATTTCCAAAGAAAGTTTTACGATGATTTTATGATGGTTGTTACACTGGCAAGAAACTGCGATTCTGAAAAGCGTAAGGGGAAAATTAAAAGACTATAAGAAGAACAAAAAGTTTAAAAAAAAAAGGGGGGGGGGGGGTTAAGAAAACAGATTGAAAAATAGTGGCGGTAGCTTAGGAGGTAGAGCGGTCGTCCAACAGCTGGAAGGTGGGCGGTTTGATTCCCCCCTAACTCTCATGCGTCTGTTGTTTTGTTGTTTCCTTGGGCAAGACATTAAACCTACTTGCTCCCAGAGTCCTCCACAGGTGTATGATTCGTATGTGTGTAGCTTTGGATGAAAGCATCTGCTTAATGGCATTGTAAAAAAAACACAGTGGTAGGATAGAAATAAGCAAACAAATAAATAAGTCAAGAAATAAGTGATCAAGAGCAGTGAAGGAGGGGATATGAGGCGGAATTGAAAGAAGTTTTTAAATAAGATACATAACTTCAGTTAATCTAAGAAGTGAAGCAGTGGAATCAGATAACAGCAAGTCTTGAAGAGGTGATTTGAAAGATATCCCTGATTCTGCATGCCTTCTCTCCTCAGGGAGGTCCTTCAAAAGTCAAGGTGCTCTGTTCAAAACTTGATAACCTTTAGAATTTTGTCCTAACTTTGAAACAACAGGGACATTCCCACCTGAGGCTGTGAGATGTCAACATTTTTACAATACAACTGGACCAGTTGGAGGCGCGAGAGTGATTTGTGGCTGGCACCAGAGAGGAGGGAGTTACAGTGAAATCATCAATCGATGAATCAACAGTTTTTACTTCTACAGGGATAAATCACAACAAATGTCATCTCAAGACTGTGGAGCCCACGCTGTACAAAAAGACATTTTTTTTTTAGGTTTTATTATTGAAAAGACCGACATCAAATAAGATTGAGCCTCATCTTGTTCTTAATCAGATCTGTTCATAACTTATCCTGATCCACTGTGGTGCAAAATTGTTGCTGCATACCCCTCCAACAAATGGTAATTGCAACCCTGATCCACTATGAGTGACACATTGCCTCTAATGGGCAGAAACCTCATGCAGAACCAGATTCATGTTATCTGCTCAGACTGTACTGGGATAAAAGAGAGAGACAAACAACAGCAGCAGCTCATACAGACTTATGGTTACAGTCCCATTAACAAGAGTTAAAGCATCTGCACTATTTCCAGGAACTGCATATTAATGACAAGAGACTGATGTAATTTAATGTAATTTATGGCAACTAAAGTCAACTAGTCTTACAGTAACATTTGTGATAATGACGTTCAAGTTGATTATATGGATAGAAATAAAAGTTATAGAAACTGGGGACAAGCTGGACTGAAAACTGACACCGGCTTTGTAACACTGGTAATAATGGTGGGGCTGGTATGAATAGGTGAAGCAGCTCGAATCAGACAAGCCCAGAGCAGCAAAAAGTCTGCAGCAGCAACCCAGAGGAACCTACAGCATGACGGAGATCAGAGACTCCAAGAAAGACTGCGTTTAGTGTCACCAGTGGGACATGATGATTCAAAGTTAACGACAGGCAGATAGATAGAGGATGGAGACAGAGGAAATGTTGATCAATGTGCTAGTTTCCAAACTGGTCAAAGCCTGAACCAGCCATACTGTTAAAGGCACAAAGGTATGACGAGAGGCCTTTTAAGTTCTATACTAGATTTTATTGAGAGTTAATACAGAAAGGTCAATAAAGAAGAGACCTGCTCTCTTTTCCTGGTTCTGGTCATTTCCTGGGCTGCGGTGTTTTGGACCAGCTGAAGACTTGTTAGAGCGGCCTGATTGAGTAAATTATAGAAATCCAAACCCAAGAGGTATGCAGTTGTTTTTCTGACAGAGGATGTATCTGGTTTTTGAGATATTGCTCAGGTTAAAAAAAAAATTGTTGACTGTGGAGGTTGAAGGATAAATCCTGATTAAGGTAATCTCCCAGATTTTTGAGTCTGATGCCAGACTGATGCCATCTAACGCTGTTACAGCCTCAAAAAATTAAAGGTCCAAAACATTGAAGAGGGAGAGAGGTCTCATTTCCACCAGTCAGATACAGGTTCTTCAAAGATTTAAACACCTAGTTTATAGCTCAGCTGCTTCAGCTGGAGTAAGAACACTGAAAAGTTTGGAGCCTCGGACTTGTTGAAAGTTCGTCAGGTAAGACTGTGCTTAGTTTTGAAAACCAAAAATAACATTACAAAAGTGATCCTGAAGCCCTCTTAATCTTTCAGTCAGGAGTCTACTTAGTACTCCCTGCTGAGGAGTTTCATCCGTAAAATCACTTCTTCAACCTTCTTGTGTGATTTTTTTTTTTTTAAACTTTTTATTCCACCTTACTTCCTCCAATTACTTTATTTTCTGAATAAACTTCAGCTCCTTTTTCTGCTTTTATGGCTTTTATTTATTGTTGTAGCTGTATTAATTATATTTTAATCTCTTTTCCTCATTATGTGACTTTTAATAGTTTCCTTTTAGTCCCTGTTTTTGTCCTTTTGCCTTAATTTCGTTATTTTTGTTGTTTATATCCCTTTTTCTTCAAATGTTTGATCTGATTTATATTTCTATTGCCCTGTATTGCTTTTATCTCACCCTGCTGCTTTCATCCTTTATTACTGCCTTATTCATTTCTATTCGTGGTCTGCTGTGTTTTGGTCTCCACCATCTACTGCTTCATCACTGCCTCCATGGTGACAGATCACACTGTAGAGGCCCGAGTTATCTGGCACACCAGCTTGACAGTGAACAAATGATATTTATTTTCTTTAAAAATTTCACAAACATCAAACAAGACTTTTCTTTCATTGATTTTCTCACATACAGTTGTAAGTCTTCAGCTATCTTTGTCTGTAATGACTCTTCTGTATGAAGAAAAAGACACCTGTGTCTGCAAACTGGATTATTTTACCGCTAGTCTGTAGAGCGTTATCCACATCCTGATAGTTTATCTTCAGCTATTTAAAATACTGATTTGTTTTATTAATACACTTAACAGAATTACACACTAGGTGGAAGAACATGAAAAATGGTTGCAGTTGAAGGGTCTTTGAAATAATAGCCTACAATTTTACTTTTAATTTAAATACAAATAATGTTGCAATACAACTCTGTCTGTACAAATGTATCTTTTTTATGTGTTGTTTTGAGTCAGTTGGACTTTAACATAAAGCAGAACCTGCTTTGGTGGATAGTCTGTGTGACTGCTGAAGCATGTTACTGTTTCTCGCTGAGTTTTGAATGTTTAAATAAAAGGGAAAACTGTGGCTTCTTTAAAAAAAAAAAAAAA